TTATATAAATATAGGTCGACAAACGTCCCCTAAGGGCGCTACGGTCTTTTAAAGGGGCTCCCCTGAAGATGGTTTTTCCTTAATATTTATATATTCTAGCCCAGTTTTTTATGCTGGATTTAAAAATATTAACAATTTTAGACAGTTTTGTTTGGAAGCGTATGTAACAAGGACGGACTCAGGTTATTTTAGCCCCAACATTTTTGTGTGATTCTATTTTTGAAATTCAATTTTAGAATTTGAAAATTTAGGGTCTTCTACATAAAAAAGTACTCTTATTGAATATCGATAAATAATGCCATTTTTGAATAAAATCAAACTAAAGAATTTGTCACATGATAGGAAATGTACTGCGAATTTAAATGAATTGTTGAACAATTAGCCATGGCAATGAAAAAACTAATTTAATAATTGGTAAATATTACATAAATACATATTTCTATTGCAACATAGCTAACATTTAGGCAAAAACAAAAGAAATAAATTTTTTCTACGAACGAAATTGAAATTTGTTTAAAAAAGAAGACATACAGTTGGATATACTTAACACTAGCTTTAAAATAAGTGTTCAAATAAATTCCCATTTTGTTGGATACAAAGTCTCGCTCGACGAACTAATGATTGCGTAGCCCGAAAAGTGGAAAACCTTTTTCTTCTTATTTCATTTGCAGCCTGATGGATTCTTTGAAGTAAATCTTCTTGAGTATCTACTTAGACATATTCAGTGTGTACACGTTTGTTATTAACGATATATTTCAAGGTTCTCCACATTTGTTTGCTGTCTCCTTTGCATCTGTTAATATTTTCTTCATAATACTGCTTTTGTTTTGATCTGATAAGAGCAACAACTTTGTTACGTTTTTCTTCATATTTTTCGAAGTCATCCCTCAGGTTGGTAAATTAGAAAATCTGGTATTGTACATCTCTTTCTCGTAGTGCTCTTTTGACCTCTTCGTCAATCCTTGACTTGTTATTAGTAGGTACTTTGTTGTTCTAAAGCTACAATTTCATTAATACTTTTATTTAATATTATTATTTAATCGTAATTGTACCTTGAGCGGACGTAGGAATATCTATACTTAGTATTTCATGATCAGTGAAATTTGGCAGGTTTCTATCATTTTCCACAATCTCATGGACGTTTGTTAATAGGAGATCTATTAAACTTTTGGATGTATCGGTATACTTTATCTGAAGTCACTTGAAACACTGAAATACCGGGTGCGTTTTATATATCTATATTTAACACGCTCTGTTGCTGCAAAAATCGCCAAATTTCGCAGCAAATATCCCCTGTATAAGATCAAAGGCAGTTTCACCGGTCCACGTGGAGTAAAGCACGCCTATGCGTAGACATAGCCAATGAGAAAGCGTGTATTTCAGAGCTCCGAACAAGTGCAGGTGGCTACTGAAAATTGAAACAGTTTAGCCAGCGCCACGTAGCGGTGAATAAACGTGTTTTCTTTAGTCTGTCCGTGTTTTTTCATAGATTTTATTAGTTTGTGTGTTTTTGACTTTTGAATACTCAGATTACTTGTTGATTTAATTGTTGTGTTGATTGTTCTTGTGTGTCCTAAATATGGCTCTTTGGAGACCTTGGGAAAATGCTCCAAGCCACAAGGAGATGGTTGATGTACCTGTGCAGGCAGAATTCTTTCATAAAGATTTAGAGGAACAGACCCAAAGAGCAATCCTAAATATGTATGATTGTCTGAAAGACGAAAATCCAGATTCCTCGCAAAATCAAATTTTAAACAGAATTTGTATCCTGACAAAAATCAGTCGGTCTACCATTTATCGGGTTATAAAAAGGGGAGATGTAGTCAACCATTCCTTCCACAGAAAGCGCATAGGGCAAAAATTGAAAAGAATAAACGTGGGTTTTCAGGAAGATATTCGTCGTATAATATACGGATTTTATAAAGAAAATTTGGTGCCCACGTTGGAAATGATACGGGATAAATTAAAAGATTATCCTGAAGATTTTTATAATTACAAATGCTTAGACTTACTGCACTGTATTGTAAAACTGTGTGGTTTTCAATACAAAAAATTAGATAAAAGAATGGTGATTATGGAGTCGTCTCGAATCGTTGAATTGCGCCAAGAATTTTTGCACAAAGTTAAAATCTATAGAGAGCAGAAAAGAAATCTGATTTACCTGGATGAAACGTGGTATGATACCAATGATGTTGTGCAGTACGGCTGGGTTGACGACAGCAACAAGTGCATTTTAAATGCACCATGCAACCGTGGAAAACGAATCATTATACTCCATGCTGGCAGTGAAAATGGATTTATACCTAATGCCTTGCTGTTATCTGCCAAAAATATCAAAGAATCATGTGCCGACTATCATGAGGACATGACTTCCGACTTATTTGAAAAGTGGATAGAGCAGCAGTTAATACCAAACATTTCCCCAAATTCAGTGATTATTATGGACAATGCGCCATACCATTCCCGACAGAAAAACAAAATTCCGAATACAGGCACAAAAAAACAAGACATTATTGATTTTATGAAGGATAAGGGAATGGAAATATCACAAAAATCAACCAAAGCCATATTACTGGATCTTATTAAAAGACAAAGATTTGAAAAAGAGTATGTTGTTGACAATCTGCTTCAGCAAAATGGCCATGAAGTATTACGTCTACCTCCCTATTACTGCATTTTTAACCCGATTGAGTTGGTCTGGGCTGCTTTAAAAAAAAAGTAAGAAAACATAATCAGACCCCTCAATTAAGTGAATCGCTATTGGCCACAATAAGAGATGCAGTATCTCATACTGCTGCCACAGACCTATGGAAGCAGTGTTCTAGGCATATTATTGAAAAACAAAATGAATATTGTGTTTTGCCTCCTGTAAATCCCGTTGTAATTCCTCTACAAGATGACTCTAGCGACAGCTCCGAAGGCGAGGATGATATATAAATACCTATAATGTAAGTCTTTATATCCCTTTTTATATAACTACCTGCTATGTAAATATTTGCCTATGTCAAACGTTGGAATTCTGTAATTTTTCCATTTCTTAACTTTCAGTCAACATAAATTAAACTCCCAATATAAGTATTTTTTATCCCAAATCAAAAAAATAAGAAGATAGTAAAATCCATTTATTGTGATATAAAAACATTATTATTATCGTTCTAAATAAATGACCGCACGCCTATGATACGTCATGAAATTACAAAGAACGCGCCGATCAAAGGTTTTTATGCTATTTCAAGTGACTTCAGATAAAGTATACATCTGGTGGGTGCACGAACTATCTGTTTAAATCCAGTTTCTTCTGATGTGCGTAATAATCTTCTACAGTGAGTATCATCATGCAGTAAATTTATGTTGAAGTCTCCATCACAGAATTATTTTGGCTTACATGCCTTGATCTAATAAATTTTCCAAAAGTGTTTCAAATTAACGTTTATTTCCATATGGTGATCTATATATATACCACCAAAAACATAAAAGAGGGAGAGGTCAGTCAAGAAGGCATCAGTCATCTAATCCAATCAATGCCTGGACGATTTAACGAATGTGTAGCAACACATTATTCACATATCCCACTTATCGCAGCTATTTTACGGAATTTCGAGTTAAAATCGATAGACCTGAAACTTGTGAAAGAATGCCCAAAATCACAGCTCTCCTAGTCGGTGTTGCATTTCCTATGTCATTTAGTATAGTTCACTCCACGTTTGCTCGCTATGATAGCTGTGTCGAATTTTTTTTCAAATATCGCTACTTAACCTATTGAGTACAAGTTTAAGTGTAATGGTCACTTGATATATTTGTATGCGATACAATCTACGTTGTATATAAGTAAGCTGCTGTTTCAATTTCAGCAGTGTCGGTTTTATAGCATCCTTAAATTCCGACGTACGTTTGAGAGTATAAAATGCCCAATAAACCTAACCGCACGTCGGGAAGATATACTGACAGGTATACAATGGAAACATACGTATACCCCGTAACATAGTTTAGTAACGACTAACAGCATTAAAATAAAATAACGATGTCTGATACTCTTCACTTAGTAAGGTAGCTATTATAAAAGCAATGATTTTTCTACGATCTGTTAGTGATTCGGTGTGTTTGTAGTGATAGTCTCTATTTTGATAGACATTGGAGATGGTCATAGCAGTTGAGTAAGTAATGCATCAATGCCACTCAAGGTTCCTCTATTGGCAAAGGAGATACGATAAAATACAAAAGAGACGTCCAATAAGCAAGTAAATATGTGCATAACAAAAAATTAAATGATCTTCCTTCTTTCCCTGAGAGGAATTGCTGCAGGCAGACATGATCGTTGTTTGAAGGGGACGTCTATGATGAGTGAAATATACTTAACCCTGTAATGCTTAGTGGGGTTTCGCATCACCCCAAAGAAAACTCAAATGTTCACTAATTTTTTGTGCATAAATTGGCAACATCGGAGATCCCGCTATGTTCATTTGAGGTTAAAGTGTGTGTGTTGTTGGTCGCACATTTTTGTTCAGTGCAATAGTTTATATGATATTTTGTGTTTGGGGTGACGAGTAACCCCAGGTAAGCTTAAACTGGTATTTTTATTTTATTCCACACACTAGATTACGTAATTTATTTAGATGGCTGTCCGACCAGATGATCCCAAATTTGAAGAAACTCTGTTACGATGGAATGAAGAACTCGACAATGAACCTGATTCAGATAATGACGGCACTGACTATGACGACCATGTTTCAATTCAGTCCGACAGGGAGAGCACCTACTCAACGGATGATAGTGAAGTAGAGAGTGAGACAGAATAACAACTTCCTGGCAAAGTAATAAAAGGAAAAAATGGACATATTTGGAGCACTGAGCTTCCATGTCGTACTCGAACACCTAAGCGAAACATTGTTTCATGTATTCCCGGACCAAAAGGTGCGGCCAAAAATATTTCAACGGAATTAGAGGCATGGAAGTTATTTTTTAGCGCAAATGTTATAGATATTATAGTGGTGCATAGAAATATGAAAATAGAACGACAAAGAGGGAAATATGTTGCTAATTGTGGCTTTGTTAACGAGACAGACGTTGAAGAGATCTTGGCTTTGATAGGACTGCTTTCTTTGACAGGTTGTAGAAAAGACAATCATCTAACTACAGCAGAAATGTGGTCAAAGCATGGACCAGAAGTGTATCGATGCGTAATGAGTGAAACAAGGTTTAGATTTTTGATATCTTGCCTCAGATTTGACGTCAAAACCATGAGAGACCGAGAAGATAAATTTTCTCCAGTACGTAATATATGGGAAATGTTTATATCTAACTGTACAAAATACTATACTCCTCACAGTTATTGTACCATCCACAAACAGTTATTGGGATTTCGAGGCAATTGCCGTTTTAGAGTATATATTTCATCAAAACCTGACAAATATGGAATCAAAGTTGTAACGATGTGTGATTCACGCACATATTATATGGTTACTGCTATTCCATACATCGGCAAAGAAAATAGGCCAGATAAAGAACCTCTCCCAGCTTATTACGTAAGAAAACTGACAGAACCCATTCACGGAACCGGACGCAATTTGACGATGGACAATTGGTTTACTTCCATTCCACTGGCTGACAAAATGCTTGTTGACTACAATTTGACCATTGTGGGTACTCTCAGAAAAAAACAAGAGCGAAATTCCTCCATCACTTCTCCCAAACAAACGAAAAGGAATAATTATGTCTTCTCAATTTGGATTCGACAACCAAAAAACCTTGGTGTCCTTCACACCCAAGAAGTCTAAATCTGTGCTACTTTTATCGACAATGCATTCTGGTAGTACAATAGGTGAAAATAAAAAACCCGAGATAATAAATTTTTACAATTCTACCAAAGGAGGTGTCGATACCTTTGACAAGATGATGCACACATATTCGGTATCCCGCAAAACACGCAGGTGGCCATTACGCTTTTTTATAGTATAATGGATCAAGCAGGCATTAACTCCAACATTATTTTCCAAATTGTTAAGCGTGATAGACAAAAAAGTGTTCGTCGAAAATACCTATTTGAACTTGGACTACAACTGGTCAGGCCTCATATGGAAAGACGTTTGACAAAACCAATACCTCGAAAATTGAAAGCATAAATAATGAATATTCTAGATATGAAAACAGAAGAAAAAGTTGATCCACCTCCAGCAAAATTGCTAAAACAGACTCGCTGCATTTTATGTCCAAGAACAAATGACCGAAAAACAAAAACTGCCTGTGCGAAATGTTTCAAGGCTGTTTGCAGTAATCATCGAGCTGAAATATGTACCGAGTGTTTGAAATAAATGTTTTATTATTGAAACAAAAGTGTCTATCTTTTATATTTTGTTCATTAAATAGGAATATATCACTGGGGTTATTGGTGGCCTAAGCAACTATAGCCGTGCTATTCGCCTAAGCGCTCCAGGGTTAATATATTGGTTCCTTGTCGGTAGCGAGCCTCTCGCAGAGCGTCAGTTCAAGCTGTGTCTGGCAGTCAATCCGCCTACCACATTTGAGTAGTTTTTTAGGAGTGTCCTTCCCTTCATTGCAATTTTCGCAACTCGCATATTATCTTTTCCCTACACTCCTCAGGTAGCTGTCAAAACAACCAGGAACTGTGAGGTATAGTAATCTATCGTTACCGCTCCCTTCTCAATCCAAGTTCTGCGATCAGCCTTCTGGTCCATGCACAATGGCCAGTTGCATCCCATCTCTCGTACCATCTGACACAAAGCGCCTCTGTTTCGTCGCTTGTAGCTTTGACGCCCTTTTAATACAGTGCGCATCTCTCCGCAGCCGGAAAATCAATCGATGAGGTTCCAGCAACCACGCGAATTCCTGGCAGCATCTGTAATTGAAGAACCCCATCGTAGAACACGTTCCAAAGCAACCGGTCCAGAACGGAGCTCTGTGGCACTTCTATTGTTACCTGCATCGTCTTTTGCCCTACCATGAGTTCCCCTCTCGTCCAAGTATCTCTTTATCATGTTCAATAGACAGCTAGGGGTGTCTAGCTTCTGGAGAGCTTAGACGATTTTCTGCCATTGTTGAAGACATTCTTAACATCAAAAGCACAAAGCTTCTTACTACTGTAGCTGCCGCTATCCGCTACTTTCAGCAGCTGGGCCACTGCACTAAGTGTATCCCTGGCAGACTTTTTACTTGGTGTTAGACCTGACAACAACCTAATCTTAGAAGGTGTTAATCCAAGAGACCTCGTAAGATATGTCAGTTTTCTCTTTACATCTAATAATCATGGTTCTGAAGGATGTAAGGGTAATGGCTTGATAATATTTGATTGATCGACAAGTAGTTAGTTGCAGAGTTGGCTCCGAAGACTTCTGCTTTTAAGTGCCTTAGCTTCTCAAAGAAATACGTCGCAAAATCGAATTTTCCAACCTTTATTGCATTAGAGGTATTCCAGCACTCGGTAAGTAACAGTTGTCGTCTCGTGACGTGCCCATTGGACCGTAGGGGTTACAAAGTGCAGCGACTCCACGAGTAGAATAATGACGGGAGAATAAACAGTCAGACTGTGTTGGTTTGTGTTTGCTGAGCGAGATAAGAGCCGGCTCTAATTAACAGTTGACACAATCACCGGGGATGGTGGTACTGTTGGTCGTACAGACCGACACGGCAGCAGGAACGAATCGTAAATCTGCACCTGGCGAGACGACGTCGCATCGCGCCTCCACGGGTTCCGACGACTAGCGTGATCGTATCTCCGGGAAAGATTGTCAGAGAACATGGATGAGGTTAGGACCCTGTCTCAGAGGTTGAGGAGATTTTTTCATATTGACCACGGTAGCGTCGTAAAGCCAGAACAGTCCATGACTTTTTGAATTTCCGGCCTTTTAACTGGAATGGCAACACTGCTCACGTCGACAAGCATTTGTTAGTTGTCTCCTGTCGAATTTTGAATGAACTGCGCTATATACAGGGTGTCCCAGAAGTCGACGTCAAGCCGAAACCGGGTGATAGGTAAAGTCATAACAGCTATCAGAAAAATATTTAAAAAATTTTATGTATGTATGTGTTTTGAGAATTGTAGGTCTTTGAAAAAAATATAGAAATTTCACACCCTACGGCAGTCTGTCAACTCCTGTTACTACAAATATTAACTTTTTTTGGATTTTTTTTTACAATGTAATGATGAATAATGCATCTTCAAACTGGTGTCTCAACCTTACTGCCAACTTTTCTCGTTCAGGAAAAATTGCCACTTATCTCCCAACCAAGTATTCCAAAGTAAAACTTTGCTCAACTTTAACTGGCTGTACTGGAAAAAATGTACTTCGAGAGTTTGGCAAGTAACCTTAAAAGTTGGCGCATTTAATAACGATTCCAAAATGGTATAACACTTAGAAGATTACTCGTTAACTTAGGCACAATTTTTATTTGAAGAAAAACTGATGAAAATTTTTCAAAATTCCCTAATTAAACAGCGATTATGAAAACGCACAAGGACCCTTAAGGATAACGCAATACACGCTCGACATCTTCTTAAAAAAGATCGGGTTATTAAACGAGCGAATCCACGGTTATTAACAAACTCAGCTGCTTCCAATAGTTTTTGCCGTAGTTCAGCTACATTTTGAATCGGCTTGGAATACACTTTTTCTTTTACAGTTCCCCAGTAAAAAAAATCTAACGGATTCAAATCTGGTGACCGGGCTGGCCACGGTATTGTACCAGACCGCCCTATCCATCTGCCTGGAAAGTTTTGATCGAGATACTCTCTCACTGAGAGTGCATAGTGCTGGGCAGTCATCATGCTGAAACCACATGTCCCTGTAAATACTCAGTGGCACGTCCTCCAATAAATTTTCTAAATGATTTTGCAAAAAATCTAAATAAACCTCAGCAGTCGAAGTCTCTGGGAACTCAAACGGACCGATTATTTTACCATTTAAAATTCCTGTCCAATGGTTTATCTTGAAGCGATATTGAGATTTATCTTCTCTCATCAAATGTGGGTTTGCTACGTGCCACTCGTGTAAGTTATGCAGGTTCATGTACCCACCTTTCTTAAATGTGGTCTCATCTGACCATACAATTTTTTCAAAGAACAGTGGATCTTCCCTGTGTCTTTCTAACATTGTGCGACAAAAGCATCTCGGGGCTCATAATCCCGGGGCAGAAGAGCTTGAACACGCTGTACGTGGTAGGGATGGAGCACGTTTTTTTGCAAGATTCTATGGGCTGTACTTTTGGGCACACCTGTTTTTAGTTCTATTGCACGCACTGAAGTACTCGGGTCTCTTCGACAGCTCCTAGCACCACGTCTTCGTAAGGAAGGAAAGATCTTCCCTCACCGTGTGATTGGTTTGGTAGTTGTCCCTCTGAGAACAGTAAGCGGTGCACATTTGTGAACACTCGATGATCTGGATGACGAGCTGCATTCGGTTACCTCTCACAGTAAAGTCTCGCTGCAGCACTAGCGTTGCATCTGCATTCCCCATAAATGAGGTGCATGTTAGCATATTCTTGTACGGTGTACACGGACATAGCGGCACTGCACAATCACACTATGAAAGATAGTCTAAGGAAAGCAAATGTTGTTTTGAAGAGCAATTAAACAGTCCAAATCCAAATCACAAGCGATCAACAGTCCAGTTCACGAATCCAAAATTAGTAACAGTACGAAATCAACAAGCACGAACATGTAAAGATGCGCAGTAAACGAAGGAGTACTGATCGGTATCGAAGTGTGCAATAGCAAGTAAGTGATGTGCTTCATCCATACCACATCAAACTTTCCAGGCAGATGGATAAGGCGGTCTGGTATAATACCGTGGCCAGCCTGATCACCTGATTTGAATCCTTTAGATTTTTTTACTGGGGAACTGTAAAAGAAAAAGTGTATTTCAAGCTGATTCAAAATGTAGCTGAGCTACGGCAAAGACTATTGGAAGCAGCTGAGTTTGTTAATAACCGTGGATTTGCTCGTTTAATAACCCGATCTTTTTTAAGAAGATGTTGAGCGTGTATTGCGGCTGAAGGAAAACAGTTTGAGCATTTGCTGTAAAGGTAAATCATCATCAGCAGTATTTTGACGCCCACTGTTGTGCAAACAGTTATCCTTGAGGGTCCTTGTGCGTTTTCATAATCGCTGTTTAATTAGGAAATTTTGAAAAATTTTCATCAGTTTTTTTTCAAATAAAAATTGTGCATAAGTTAATGAGTAATCTTCTAAGTGTGATACCATTTTTGAATCGTTATTAAATGCGCCAACTTTTAAGGTTACTTGCCAAACTCCAGTACAG